TCCCTTATCTTATTTCTGCTAGTTTGTGGAAGTGTCTTATTTTAATATTATGTGTGATACCAGAGTGAATATTTGAGATGCAAGATGGGTGAAGTAATACCTTTTACTGGACCAACTTCTTTGTGAGAGACCTGCTTTTGAGCTTACATAGAGCTCTACCAAAGTTGATCTAGTAAGGTTATTACCTCATCCACCCTTTACCCCTTATCTTATTTCTGCTAGTTTGTGGAAGTGTCTTATTTTAATATTATGTGTGATACCAGAGTGAATATTTGAGATGCAAGATGGGTGAAGTAATACCTTTTACTGGACCAACTTCTTTGTGAGAGACCTGCTTTTGAGCTTACATAGAGCTCTACCAAAGTTGATCTAGTAAGGTTATTACCTCATCCACCCTTTACTACCAAATATGGCTACAATAACACTGCATACTTTAAATATTTCTAATAATACAAAGTTCACTAAGGGCCTTGCAGCACAAGGCTAGTATTTGCTAAATTCACTCAGTACTGAAGCTGTCTTCATGGGAAAACAAAATGTTTTTACATCAGTGTCTCACATGGGAGGCATAGCTACACCATTTTTAAAACCACCCGTACCTTGTCTCTGCTAGGATTTTACACTTAAGTAACTATCGCATGGTAAATGCATACTCTTAAATATCTCCAAAGATATTTAGTAGAGACTTTGCTAGTGCTTCTCAGGTAAATTGTTGTAAAACTAGGGAACTACCTAGATAAATTGACTTGGCTCATGGGGGGTGCATCTGCACTGCTCCAGAGCTCGAAATAAGATACACAATATGTGAATCTCAAATTGTGTATCTTTGATCTTATTTTGAAATAGTTTTTTTATAATTTGGCAGTGTCTACACAGTGCCAAATTTTGAAGCTGCTGTTCTGAAACATCCCTTACTACTTGTGGAATGAGGTTTACAGGGACCTCGGAATAGTGAGCCTGAAATAACGGACTTGCTGTTAAGACACAGAATAGCTATTTCAGGTACGCTTTTCCCTGGTTGAGAGCAATTGTATAGGTAGGATCCCATCTGAGCCCATGTTTCCTGAGACATGACTGGTCTCTTTCTGTCCCCTGTGTTAAACAAAAAATTGTTTTAAAGCCTTTTTTTCCTCAGCGCGGATTTCTCTTTCACAGGAGGAAACTGCGGGCTGATGTGACAACAGCTTTTCCCACCCTCAGCAGCGAACAACTGTCAGAACTTGTTCCAAACAAAGAGGAACTCAATATCATCAAACTGTATGCTCACAAAGGAGATGCGGTCACGGTATATGCCAACAACAGGAACCCAATCCTTTTTGAATTGGAGAAAACGCTATATCCAACAGGTATGAAAAATGAAATAGAATTTTTCCCCACACTACTTTCCCACAAATATAATTCATCTAAAAGTTCTGGCATTGCTCATCTATTTAAGGTACTTGCAACTCTACTTTTGCATTTGAGTGCCTCACATTCTTAAATGTATATATCCTTATAATATTCCTTGTAATGCAGGACAGTATTAGCCCCCATTGTACAGATAGGAAACTGAGGCACAGAGCAATGACTCTTCCAGGATCACACAGGAAATCTGGGGTGGAACAGGAACTTAAACCCACCCTAATCGCTAGACCATCCTTCCTTTCTCACTCACTTACCATAAGGCACAACTGTCATGCTCATGAAGTTCAGCCTTCATGTGGAATTCTGTCTGTGAAAGACTGAATTGCTCTGGAAAAACATGCTGTTCCATCATTTTTCCTCTGTTGTGACTTGCCCATGTTATCATAGCAATTCAGTTCAAAACATCCTTAATTTAAAGAAGATCATGTCAAGATATCCACACATCATCTATCCATAGGAAACTTGAAACTGAAGTATTCACACTTTAGTTGATCCATTGCAAATAGCTGCTGGCTTGTTGTTGTTTTTGATGCTGCTGGGCAGTGTAGCCTCATTTTTGACCAACCAAGTCAAAGAAGAAGCTGGCTAGTTACAGTCAAAGGTATGCTGCTGTAATTGTGTTACTGGGGCCTGAAGAGGGCAAGGAGTCTAAAAAAACTTAAATGCTGTGTGTTTAAAATCAGTTTTCTTTTGTACAGTTTATACCCTGTGGTCCTATCCAGATCTTCTTCCAGCATTCTCAACATGGCCCCCTGTGCTACAGAAACTAGCTGGAGGAGCAGGTAAGAGGAACAAAACTCAATTACTTCTTGTTACATATGTCGGTTGCTTTGCAAAATTAATTGGTCTAGATCTAAACTTTTTTAGCTCATTTTTCTAGTGCAGGACACAACTTTGAGGAATAGAAGGCAGGAGATTGCTGTTAAGAAGAACGCACTGACAGTGTTGTGGGATTTTTTTGGGGTCCCTTTTATAAAGGAAAACCAATTAGCCGCAAATACAATTTAAGTATATACACCAGTGTGTGTTAAACTGTGTTCGGTGGCACACCTGTGTGCCATGGAGAACAAGAGTTCAAAATGGCTGCCCTCAAAGGGGCAGGCAACCTCTTTTCTCTCTATCTTCCCCCTCTGATCCCCCCCCATCTTTTTTCCCTTCAACAAAAAATCCTTCATGTTTGTCATTTTAAAAAAAAATTGTTTGGTGTTCCTTGGTCTTAAAAAGTTTAAGAAACACTGATATACACCATCTAGACCAATCTATTCACATGTATTGATCTTTCCCATATGATGGCTCAAAGCTGGATTTTTGCTTGTTGCACTTAGTATGATTCTAACCAACAAACAGATTCAACAGCCGCTAACTGGGGAACTGAAGTATGTGTTTCCTCCTTCTATAGCCTTTGTTAACTTTTTCACAAGGCAACAAAACTTAGCTGCTTTCCACTACTTTATTTTAAGGAGCATTTCTCTATCCAAATTCAGTATAAGCAAATGTTACTCTGTGTGTATGTTTTAAAGCTGATTCTTCCCTCTCTTTCCCCCTCCCCCCTCGGTGCCTGTGTTTTGGAGTGTGTATGTCATGTGGGGGCTTACATTCAAATCCTTGGTTCTAGACTCAGTCCCGGTATTTGGCTGGGGATCTGATGCAAAACAGGAAGGGTGTCTTTTTCCCAGACTCCACTTTGGATGGGGGGAGTCATGTCATGCTGACCTGAAACCTCACAACTGCTCATGAGAACTGGGTGTCCTCAAACCTTACTCCTGGTTTGACCTCCAACCTAAACCGCAAGCCTAAACCTAATCAGAAATCTGAATGCTGTCTTCTCAGCATGTGTGGGGAACTTGTGTCTAGAAAGGGACTGCCTTTCTCCCATCACATAGCTGGCCTCAGTTGGAGGCAGGGCTGTTGTGGCATTTGAGGCTCTCTGTTTTGGCTGCTTGCAGTCCATGGACTTGTGGGTTGGTACTGAGATAGCTGAGGAGTGTTTCTAGCCACTGACCTGCTGTTACCTTGTTGGCACCGAGAAGGTCCTATCGGGAAGAGGAGGCTAATTAAAGTGAGGGTCAGTCACTGGTCTCCCATGATAACCAGGTTGCCTCAGCTGACTTCTGAGCCACACCCAAAGATGAGAGGGTGGCCCTGGGGACTAGCCAAAGAGGAAGGGCAGTGACACAATGATGCAGAAGCCTCCAGAAAGCATGGGGGTGAGACTTTGCAGCAACCTGGTGTTTATGAGCAGGGAGCCAATTGCAGTAGTAAAGCCAAGGCAGCACGGCTTTGTACTGTCTCTTTGTTTGGCTCCAAGTTGGGTATTTTAGCATTTATTAAGTGCTAGCTATGTTCTGGCGTACTACTTACTTCATCCTGCAGCGCCGAGACCTTCATGTGGCTCCTGCCCTAGCCCAGGAATTTCACAGCTCGATCACTGCTTGGGAACCAGGGTTGGACCCATGTTGCAGTGTTAGAGTTGATGAAAGCTGTTG